CTTTTTCTGTTAATATAATGAATGAGCTTGAATAAGCAGTTTTAAGAGGAAGTTGTAAACAGGTTGTAAATGTTTACATGTTTCCCTCCTTTTATTAGTTTCTGTTTATTTCACCTCTCTTCCTCAACAAATTTCTTTTGATTCTTTCTGTGTTATATTGTTTATACAATTTAAACATGCTTCCATGCTCTTGCAAGATAAGAATTTGTCTTGACCACCAAGAAGAAACTTTTATCTATCTCAAAGCACCCCTTTATGAAAAAGTCTATTTTGAGTACCAATAGCAACTTCTCATGATGCTCATATACATAAATGTGTTATGTTTCGAGGAAAATAAATTGCTTTTCAGTGAATACATTTCTTTAAAAAGACATATTCTACAGCTCTGCTTTTCCAAATTTAAAAATATCTCACCAAACCACAGTGCTATTATAAGAAATGAAATGGGGGTGTTGCTCAAATCTAAAGTTTGCATTCTAACTCTTTTTCCAAGCATATAGTTAAATTCTGGAAAACCTATAGCCCATTAACATGATTTCCCCAAGGATTTTTACCTGTTCCATCTAAGAGTAAGTGATAGTAGAGCAATTTTGTAACCTCATTTTCTCTATCTATCAGAAGAGCAGCAATGTCTACCGAGCACCCAAGAGACACGCTAGTCCAAGATAGAATCTATGATCTGTACCTACTATAGAGAAAAAAAGTCTAAATCTTTCTAAACTTTCTTATACGAGAGCATTTGAGTGTGACCCATAATATTACCACCTGATTAAAATCCATTTCCAGTTAAATTACAAAGTCCTAGTGTTAATCACACACATCTCACCATGGGACTTTCAAGGTGGGTTCATATCCTTGGTAAGTGCTCAAGTGTTCTCTAAGGTCAAATATCCTGTGACAGGAACCATTATGTCAATGTTTGATGCTGACCTAGCTTTAGTCAGTTCCATCATGATGTCACGCTCAAAATATATGTTTAGTCTGTTTTTAAAATAAATACATCATTTTCTGATTCTGTTACATGCTATCATTCTGATCTTGACAATTGGTGCGGTCTTTACTCTTCCCTGCTTTTCTCTGCCTTGTTTACAGATCATGGGAGAGATGTCCTACTTTGGGCCATTTTAATTAATCCAGTTTCTCCTTACATATGCCACATGATTTAAAATGAAAATTTAGATGGTGGGGTGAGATCGTAAGGAAGACAGTTTAAAAGTAGCCTATCTTGGCTGTTAAGGCTCTGAATATGCCAGCGGTGAGTACGTAGGAGGTGGGGGGATTCTTAGTTGATTAAGAAAGGGAGTTGACTCTCTCTTTTTTTGGTGCTTCACTCTTAGGTTCAACTGTGTCTGAATGTCTCTGAGCCCAGAGTTTCTCTGGTTCAAAGTATTTCCACAGTAAACGTTGCATCTCCCATAGGGTGGCAAAAATGTAGTTCCTTATCAGATAGGAGAGAGCATTTGGAGTGTATGAGTTTTTTTTTTCTTTTTAAGTTTTATTTTGTGTTTAGTTGATACATAATGATTGTAAATACTTTTGGGGTACAGTGTGATGTTTTGATACATGTATGCATTGCACAAGGATCACATTATCCTTGCATAAGGACATCCATCATCTCTAACACTTGTCGTTTCTTTGTGGCTAGAACATTAAAAATCCTCTCTTCTAGCTATTCTGAAACATACAATACATTATTGTTAACTATAGTCACCTTCCTGTGTAATAGAAGAGCAGAGGTTATTCCTCCTAGCTAAGTCCAAGCTTATACCTGTTCACCAACCTCTCCTCATGCCACCTCCCACATCCCCACCTCCCAGCCTCTGGAAACATCTACTTCTACAAACAACCCGGTTAGATTCCCCATATAAGTGTGAGATCATGGGGTATTATCAATTCCCCTTTTCTCATTCCCATCCTATGTCCTTTCCTTTGTATGTACTCACTGTCTCTAATTTTTGAGATATTCTGGAATTGCTTGGTGAAAATTGATCTGCTTCTTGCTTGACCCTGAATAGAGTGGAGAGGCTGATACTTAAACTTGCTGTCACATAGCTATCAACTTTCCATTTTCCTGAGTAGTCTTGAAATCTTTCATCTGCTACCATTTTTTTCTTCTTTTGTAATGTTTTGCTTTTTTATTTTGTAATGTTTTCCTTTTTAACCCCTTTACCGTCATTCTAATAACATTTTGTAAGAGAACAAAGATAAACATCTGCATTTGCCTTGCCACGACTAATTAAATAATTCCATTCCATTCCTTTCTTAAATTTTAATGATGGTGTCTTTCTCCATATCATTGCTTATTTACCATATTGATCCTTGTTTATTTTACTTTATTTTTTTGAGAGGGTGTCTAGCTCTGTTGCCCAGGCTGGAGTGCAGTGGCATGAACTCGGCTCACTGCATCCTCTCCTCCTCCCAGGTTCAAAGAATTCTCCTGCCTCAGCCTCTTAAGTAACTGCAACTGTGGGCATGTGCCACCACACCCAGCTAACTTTTGTGTTTTTAGTAGAGATGAGGTTTTATCATGTTGGCCAGGCTGGTGTCAAACTCCTGAGCTCAAGTGATCCACCCACTTCAGCTTCCCAAAGTGCTGGGAACACAGGTGTGACCCACAGTAGCCGGCCTGATCCTTGATTTTTCCATGACACTTGGCATTACTTACTATTTACCTCTGGATTGAATGACACTGACACTATAGCTTTCTATTTCTTCCTCTGTGTCTATTTGTTCCTGATTTCTTTTGTAGGTTTCTCTTTGAATGTCTATCCTCCACAATATGGAAATTTTCAAAGACCATGTTTATATCTTTCTCAGTTCCAGCGGTTTGAATTAGATAACATGTTAGTCACTTACTGTGCTATGGTGTAAAACAATAAACAATTGGGAATTACTTCACATAACCTTTTACTTAACCTTATCGTGATGCTTACAAATTGAATTGTAATTTCTCTGAGGTCAGGAATGAAGTTTAATTTGCCTAGGTGTATGTCACACCTAGAACCATGATCCATATGTGTGTATATAAAAACATATAATATATATTGGACGTTTGTGGAGGGAAGCAAAAAGGACAAGAATAGGCAAACGACAAAAGAAATTGATGTCATTTGCAAAAATGTATAAATTAGTCATGTAACATAAATATAATCATGATGCTGTATTTGGCTTGTGAACGAATTAAAATAAGAAAAACACATATTTTGGGAGAAAATGTCATCAGAGTTTTTATAAAACCTGTAGAGAGAAATGGAAAGTTTCATTCAGATTCATGGCTTTCACACTTTGTTAGCCTCACCGCTATAATTAGTTTTAATCTCCTATATTATGTAGCACAACTTATGCCAGTAACGCCAAAAATACACACACACACACACACACACACACAAATGTAACTAAAACTTACCAGAAATTATATATCTTCTTCAGAAGTGTTTCAATGAGTCAAATACATGAAAAATGGGTGTTTATACAAATTTTTTTTTTGAGATGGAGTTTCGCTGTTCTTACCCAGACTGGAGTACAAAATTTATCTTTTTTGTTGTTGTTGTTGTTGTTGTTGAGACAGTCTGTCACCCAGGCTGAAGTGCAGTGGCACCATCTTGGCTCACTGTAACCTCTGCCTCCTGGGTTCAAGCAATTCTCCTGCCTCAGCCTCCCGAGTAGCTGGGATTACAGGCACCCACCACCACGCCTGGCTAATTTTTTGTATATTCAGTAGAGATGGGGTTACCGTGTTAGCCAGGATAGTCTTGATCTCCTGACCTCATGATCCGCCCGCCTTAGACTCCCAAAGTGCTGTGATTATAGGCGTGAGCCACCGTGCCCAGCCTAAAATTTATGTTTTCAAAATTGCATTGAAATGGCTGATAGAAGAGGATACAAAGGGACCTTCCTCACATTGATCCTCTCCACTTCCCAGCCTTTACCCAGAGAATGTCATAGCATTAGTCCTATAGAGCAGGAATGGGAAGGCCAAGCTCATCCATGTGAAGAGAGAACAGATAAGTTGTGGGTTTTATGAGGGGACTCTACTGTTTCATTTAAAAAATATCAACATATGGCAAACAAATACTACATAGGGGATGTTTCACTTTTTATCTACACCTACCTAAAGGATTTGATAATTATAGTCCAGAAAATGCTGTATATTCTTTAGTTATTTCTTTTCTTGCATCCTTTGTTTTGAGGTTTTCCTCAAGAGCAGAATGCTTCTTAGTTACTAGACAATTCTTGATAAAAAAGCAATAAAGCCGGGCATGGTGGCTCATGACTGTAATCCTAGCACTTTGGGAGGCTGAGGTGGGTGGATCACCTGAGGTCAGGAGTTCAAAACCAGCCTGGCCATCATGGTGAAACCCCATCTTTAAAAAAAAAAAAAAGCAATAAAGCCACCCATCAGTATGTTTCCTGTCTCCTTACTAGGAGCAGCCTGAATATCTCTGTCCAATTTCTGGAAGAAAACATCTGAGAAATGACACTTCACAGTATCTGTTAAAAGAAATAAATTCTGTGAGATATTTACAGGAACACTTAAAATTCATACAGTCTGAGGTTTATTCCCAGAAACAAGTCATACCCACTAATTCCTCAGTTAACCAACAGACAACACCCTGGTGGTGGCTTTTGGAGGATGGCATGACGGAGGCTTCTCCAACAGCTCTAAACTTGTTGTGGGGAAAACATTTGGCAACCTCAAAGTGCAGTCTTGTTGACTTCAATTATATCATTTTACAATTTTTTTAAATCAAAATCATTCTTAGCATGTTTTATCCACAAAGTGTTATTTTCCTTAGCAACATGTTATTTCCCCCCCATGATATGGGGGGATTCACTGTAGGATAGGTCTTGAATATTCTTGCTTTCTTTCTGATTTAATTTTGAAAAAAGGCCTAGACTAAATTCAACCCTGCTCTTTTAAATATCTTCCTTAAAAATATATAAAAAAATCTTTTATCTCTGTTTTTCTCTGCACACGGCCCTCTCCACAACATCCACAGATACAGCAGAAACACAGATGAAAGATGGGTGCAACCCAGAACAGAGAGGTATGGATATCAATTTCCATAATTATCAGTGTATCAAATTTTATGGATTGATTAGGAAGTGTGGGCCCCAAAGTGGGTGGTACCTTTGGCCTGTTGATTGTCCACTGGCAAAGTTTATAGTTTTGAAGTTGTATTAGCAACAACAGGTTGTTACATCATTTAACACAAATGAGTGCATCCATTTGGAATATACAGGAGAAGACCACATATTTCTGAGGAAGGGGCCCGAAGCACTCTCTCCTGGGGAATTCAGCTTCATATCAGTGAGGTAAAGTGGATATAAGAAAAATGCCATGTGTGTGGAGAACATTAGGAAAGGTCATATATTTCAAAAAAGAATATTGTTTACAAGGAGTGTTAATAGGTTTCAGGGGAAATGTTAATTTTTTTTTTCCTGGATGAAATAGCTACTGTAAGTTTTTAATGGTTAATCATTCATTCTTGAATTTTTATATTAAGCATTTCATATTACTTTATTGACTTAACTTTTATGCTCTTCTTCATTTTGACAGTAAAGAATGACCAGGCAACACTCTTTGAAAATTGGAGACCATTTGCAGCTGCTCTGTGTTGAGGAAAGTGAATAATAGGGTGCCCTCAAGGAATTTCAAAGGTATCACTCAACAGAAACTTTTGTGTCTGAAGAAAACTAGATCATTTTATCATGGTAGGCATGCTGATATGTTTGCTTTAATAAAATGCCATATTTCTGCCTTTAATCTCTTGTCAACCCGCTATTAAAAAGCCCCAAAGTGCATGCGTGCAGCACATGTAAACACTTGTGGTTTTGAGGTTACCACAGAACATACTAATAAAGCATGTAATTTGTGTTTTGTGCACAGACTGTAATAATTTATTGAGTGGTACAGAGAAGCTAGAAAAGGATTTTCTCTAACTTTAGCCAGCAAGTCAATTTAATTTTGGTGTTTTCTGCAGAGGTACATGTATACACATGTTTTTATGATGACATCATGTTTAAAAAGCATTAGGAAGCCTACATAACAAAATGGGATAAAATATAAATTCATTTTGCACACATTGAAGACATTCTATCAAGCATGGTAATGTTGCTCCTATAAGCTGATCAGCTGGGAGGTGTGATGTCTATTCTTCCCCAAAGGGTTGTGTGCATGTGTGTGTGTGTGTGTGTGCGCATGTGCACATGCATGCACGCATTTGTGTGTGTGTTGAGCACTGACAATAGATTAGCAGAATATAGATCAAGTAAATTAAGACAAATTGCAATTGCGATAGCAAGAACTCATAAACTTTATCAACATTATCCCCAGACCCCTGCAGAAGGAGGACAGAGAACAATGTTGATCCAAACTACAAAGGGTGGATCACTTCTAGAGGATCCTAGAAGAGCTCACTGCCAGACTACAGCTTCTCCCATGATTGTTTGGGTAGCCAATTCATCTGCTTATGTCAGATGCTTACAGGTAAGAACTGTCTGGTTGTATACCGCTCAGCTTTATACTCTTACTTCTTCCCTCATGAGGTACTTTGCACACAACAAATCATCCACACAGACAGATAATTTGAAAGAAAAGGCCTCGAGTTTGTTTAAGAAATACATACCAGTTTCTGGAAAGTTCTGTAGCTGGAAAATTCTGTGAAATTCTGTGCTTTATTCACTCAAACAAAAACACGTTCAGTTTAGAAATAATGTGTGTGCCCAGAATAAATTGCTGTTAGATACTCAAAACATGTTTATTCCAAAAAGATGCAAGATTTCTCTCCTGAAAACAGTTCACCACTCTCTATTCTTCTTTTTGTTTCTGAGAAGGCTTATACACATATCAGGTTTCAATGCATAGCAGATTTCAGGTGCACAACATTTTACATTTAAGGGCTAATTAAAATGAATCCTTTGTGCCACCTCTAAGACACAACTTACTCCTTCATGTTGTTCATTAATCTAAAAAACCAGTTCCAATTCATAGCTAGGGATTATAGAACTTTCTGTGGCCATTGGCTATCACAGGGGCACTATGAAAATCTGTAAGGATTCAAATACACAGCAACCTGGCCCGGAGGGTCTTCTTATTGGAAGTAGAATTCAAGTTGTGCCCAAGTATGTGTAGCTAATCCAACCTAAAAAACAGTTTTCTGAAAAAGACTAAGCCCGTTCTCCAGACCTTGAAGGAGGAAATCAAGATCCTTGTGACTATTTGATCACTTCTATGATTTGACTGTCTCCACGGTTTAATCATTTGCTCACATAACAAAGACATTACAGAGAGAAGAGATGAGGTACAGGGAAGAGAAGGAAGGGAACGTGAAAAATAAGAAGGAAAAGGAAAAGAAAGAAAAAAGGAAAGAAGTAGAAAGGAAAGAAGAGATGGAGGAAGGAGAGAGAGGAGAGGAGAGGGGAGAAGAGGAGAGAAGAGAGGAGAGGAGAGGAGAGAAGGAAGGAAGAAAAAAGGAAAAATATTGGCCAGAAAAGTAGGTATTATTAAAATGTTGATCTTGCACATGTTAGCTGGTACTAGTTTTGTAGTGTCAGAGATACTAGAGTCAATGCTAATTTTAAAAAGCTAGGAACAAACATTTTCAGATTGTTAAAAGTTATGATTTGGAAGACTTTTTGATTGGCATAAAATGTAAAAGATATAAAAAGTAGAGATTAGCTATTTAAGTAGCTAGGTTAAAACAAGATTCATCAGGGCCGTTTTGCTTAGTAGCCTTTTAAATATTTATTCGTGGGTTTCTCAGCCCTACATGGATGCCAAATCATCTTTCATGAAGTGTCTTTTAACTGATAAAATTTCTTTTTAACATACACACAAAGATAGTAGTAAAGTTTGGGGGGGCAACGACATACAAAAAATTCAGAGTCAAAATAAAGGTAGTTCCCAGGGTCATATTTTTAATCTGTAACTCTGTAAGGTTGCAAGGGTTCATGCATATCAAACTAACTTTATTTTATTTTAATGTGGTAATCAAAACATCTGTTGAAATGTTTTAGGTAAAGATGGGCAGGTTTGAAGAATAATGACAAATGTTAGTCAATTTAGAACACCAGATATAGACTACATTTTAAGTTAAAATTACTTAAATATTAAATAAACACCCATTACTAGCTTTTTTAGTGCTTTTATCTTTGTTAAACAAAAACGTCGTACCTAAAGTTTATAATTCCTATTTAAAGTGTTTAATGCAAAATAATTCTGTGATTGCAGTAGAAACCATTGATATCAAAACAAACAGCATTAACATCACAGGACACAATCCAAGTTGTAACTTATTAAATATACTCTACATAAATGTAGGATCTATAACAACCAATTTTTTTTCCTCAATAAGAGGACTGAAGAAAAGACAACAGTACTTTTCCAAAAAATTTACCCCCAAGCTTATGTGTACATATTTCCTCATAATAAGCTCTAGAACTAACTGAAGAGTGAAAATCCCAGAGTTAAGAAAGAGTTGTCATGAGCTCAGGCCCCTAAGAGTTTAGATAATTACAGTGGTTTGTTAATGTTTTACACTAATCATTGATCTTTTATAAGAGTTTTCAAGTTTGATATCTTAGGATCACAGCTTTCCACAATTCAAGTTTAAGTAGAAGTGAAATATTTAGATATAGATTCGGATACATCTGGACTAGATCTTGTTGATTGTGACCTCTGAAATACAATTACTAGCTGTATTTTTTAGAATGTTATAATTTGCATTTGTTCAACTTTGGTGCATACTTTTTATATTCAAAGTAATCATTAATTCTGAATGAGCATTAAAAAATAATCCTAGGGTCTGTAAGACTTTGAGTCTAGCTAGTTCAAAGTATCAACAAATTGAAATACAAGACCTCCTAAATTCTGATATTGAGAAAACTTCATTAATGCATACATTCAGTCAGTCACCCATGTGCACTTGATAGGTTCTAAATAAATATATGCTGAATGGATGAATGAATGAATGAATAAACTTCTATGTATCTAGGGCATAACTCTTGTATATGAGATAGTCACTAACTCTGAGTGAGCACTAAACAAAAACATTCTAGACTCTGGGGATCGTGCAGTAAGCATGACAGATTAAATTTCTTACCCTCATGGAGCTTACACTCTAAAGATGAACCTTGATCAAAAATATTTATTCATTTCAAATAAATACTAAGGCAACTGGGCAAATATTTTTTTCTTATTTTCTTTTAGAATTCTTGTGGTTTACTTTACTCTTCACCAGAAAAAGATGTGGATGCCTTGAAATTAGTATCTGCACTGATGCCATCCTCAGTGAGAACGTATGCTGCTACTCTGGCACTCACATTTGTCCCTGCTGTTTCTTAGGGGGGTCATCTTGCCTGTAAGATCAGAAAAAGGGATTTCTACTAAGTATCAAGAAGTTGAAGTCAAAGTAGAAAATGTTCATCCATTGTTTTCCTCAAAGCATTCTTCTGTTCAGAAATGCCAGCAACTTAACCACATGCAAATACCCTTTTGTGTACAAATGTGTACAAAAGGCATTTGGGGTTCCTCTCTTTGAGACTACATTAAAGCTGACCACATACATAGGGAAGAAAACCATTTTTCTCTGTAGCATCATATTGCTGCTTTACATATTTTCTGATAGAGTAGCATCTGGTCTCTTTATTTAAATCATATTTGACTTTTCTTTTTTGAGGCAGAGTCTTGCTCTGTCACCCAAGCTAAAGTGCAGTGGCACCATTTTTGCAACCTCTGCCTCCTGGGTTCAAGCGATTCTCCTGCCTCAGTCTCCTGAGCGGCTGGGATTACAAGCACGTGCCACCACACCCAGCTAATTTTTGTATTTTTAGTAGAGCTGGGGTTTCACCGTGTTGGTCAGGCTGGTCTCAAACTCCTGATCTTATGATCTGCCCGCCTAAGCCTCCCAAAGTGCTGAGATTATAGGCATGAGCCATTGTGCCTGGCCCATATTTGACTTTTCTAACAAAGAAATTTGGTGTGCAAAACTCTAATTAGAGATTTCAGTGACTTGTATCACCAAGAGGATGACCATCAGCATGTAGTGGAGGTCCAGGCTTCAGTCATGTGGGGCGCACTGAGGAATAGCTTTATTTGCAAGCAGAATTAGGAGTCTTCCTAACAAAGTTCACCTTAAGGATGGGAGAAACCAAAGCACAGACCACAGATTCAAGAAAAATGACTTCTAGTCAGAAAGGGTGATCTGAGGTGAGGGGAAGATGGGTCATCAATATCATCCCCCGGTCCAGCCCTGTGAAATCATACCTGAGTGGTAGAGAAATATCTATGAAAGAAGTTATAAAACAGAAACAAATGTTTCTGTCTGACAGAAAGGCAGCTGCATGGCTGTCAGCGCTATGTGGGTGGAGGGCGGTGGTCACATCGCATGTGCAGAGTGGCAGCAGGCTGTCCCCTGGTAGCAGAAAGCTCAGTTCATAGGTGGCTCATCAGAGGCCCTAAAGAACCAGTCCCCGACATGTAAGTGTCATTGGCTGTGGTCAGAGTGGCTGTAGAGAGTTTCTGGTTACACAAGATTAGTGTATAAACTGCATGACCACAAGAAAAATCTGGGTGGACAGCCCTAGGTAGCTGGAGCAGAATATTAACAATGGTAACCAGTATTTATGTGCTGCCCATGTGCTTGAAAATGTTCTAAGTGATTTACCTTTATTAGCTCCTGTAATTCCCTGAACAACCTCGAGTTAGGTCTTTCTATTATTCCTATTTTACAGACAAAGCAATAGAGGCACAGTGAGATTAAGTAACTTGCCCAATGTGACACAGCAAAAAGTGGCAGAGACACAATTTTAATCTGGGTAGAAGAGGCAGTAGATAATGCATATTCCAAGTTCTGAGAAAGGTTTGAGGTGAGTGGGAATGAGATGCTCTGCTTTGAAAGGGGCATCAGGGAGTACTGAAACAGACTGGAAGAGTGTGAAACCTGATAGGTTTTTCTTTTCAGTCCTAGGTTAGTGGCATGAAAGCACAGCCCTGGGAGCCATGGAGCAGCCAGTGCTCTGCCCACATGTAACCCTTTGGGACCTCCACTTCAATTCCCCCAAAGAGGAAAGAAAAGGAAAGAAGAACAAAGATGTCTGAAGCACCAACATCAGGCACTCGCCCAGGTGTCTGCCATGGGCTATATTCGTATCCATTTCATCCTTTAGGAAACAAACTTAGAGAAGTTAAGCAAATTTCCCCAGTTCCCACAGTTGTCAAGTTGCAGAAACAGAATTCAAACGTAGGTCTATAAAATCCAGAAGTCATACTTTTCTCAGAGTACCACATCGCTTCTTCCCAAAAGACATACTAAGGGGGAAATGGAGGGAGTGGAACAGGTACTATGCTTATTACCTGCCTGACAAAATCATCTTACGCTAAACCCCCAGGAAACGCACTGTACCTGTATAACAAGCCTGTACATATACCTCTGAACCTAAAAGTTAAAAAAATTTTAAGATATAAACATGAAATTATCCGTAGAACATATTAAATTTGTATTTCATTGAATTAAACATTGCCCAGGACACAATTGAGATTTTATTCCTCTATTTATTATATATTTACAAGGAACGAAAATCATGAGTGGTGCTTCAAAGTGTTCATCTATTAATCAGAAGGTTTTAACCAAATGCATCTCTGCTGTTTTTGTTTTTTCTTTTTCTTTTTCTTTTCTTTTTTTTTTTTTTTTTGAGACGGGGTTTCACCATGTTGGCCAGGCAGGTCTTGAACTCCTGACCTCATGATCCGCCTGCCTCAGCCTCCCAAAGTGCTGGGATTACAGGCGTGAGCCACCGTGCCCAACTTTCTGCTACTTTTGATCAGGATAAGGACAAAGATTAAATAAGTAACTTACCCACTTGCTTAGGGAAGCAAACTATTGTGTAGAAACTGGTAGAGTTAGTGAAAACCACTCATGCAGAAAGCATACTGTCAGATTCACTCCCAGTAATTTTCCTAAATGTTTACACCAATTAAATGGCCTGATGCTGCTATAAGATGTTTGTCTTCTTCCATCTTTCTTAGCCCACATACCATGCTAAATGTCAGCTAGGAGAGCTCAGAGGGCAGTCCCTGATTTTAATGAGTTGTATTCTGAAAGTAGTTTAGAAACAGAATTCACTGTTTCAGAAAATAATTGTTATAAATATAGGTAAATATGAAGCTAGTTCAGATTAAGTGAGCATAGTGAAGGAGTCTGAGAGCATTGAGAGGAGGTAAGTTTGGGGTCATGAGAACAGGGTTTTGAATCTCTGAGAGAAGGAACCTCGCTCCTCCTTCCTAAATCATGTAAGCCTCATTTGTGAGAATGGAAATACTAGCAACCCCTCTCTAGCTCTTCCTTCTGTGCCAGACACGGTTCTAAGTCTTGTCTGTATTTATTCATTCTGTAATCGCACCAGACCAATCTGGTTCAATTTTTATGTAACAAAGTTGTGAATTGTTTTTCAGCTGCCATGGCCCCCCAAGTTGAAGATCATATAACCTCTGCCTGCCCAAATGAACCAAGCATACAACCACAGGGGGAACCTAACTGTTCCAGTGGAAGAGCGGGGACCAATTTAAGAGGTGGACACCATGTGGCAGAATCCAGGATCCGATCATATTGAGACCTGGGGTCACCCCGTGGCAGGATCCAGTTGGATCATGCCTCCTGGCATCACCTATTGCAAGATCCAATCAGGTAACACCTCATTATCCTATGCTTATAGAGCCCTACCTAGCCCCTAGCTAGGTAGGATACATATTTGAGTATTTCCTCTTGTTTCCTTGCCAGTCGACTTGCAGTAAACCTTTTTTTTTCACTCTAAAATTGGCGCTGTGGTATTGGCCTCTATGACCATTGGGTAGGAAGCTCATTGATTGCTTCATAACGATTTCTACAACAATTTTCTGAGGTAGGGCCTATAATCGTTCCCCTTTTACCAAAGAGAAAGGGGAGACACAGAAAGGTCAAGGGATTTGCCAAAGGTCACACAGCTGATAAATGGAAACAACTCGACTGACATCAGGAGAGGAAGATATTCAATAGCCAGACACCCTGAACTCGCTGCTCTGAACACACTGTGACCAACCTCGGTGAAAGGAAAAGCCAAGGCTAAGAAACATCTCTCTGTGACAATCGGAAGACTGTCTGAATAAGAGCTGGAGGTGCAACAGGTTGACTGTTCAAAGCTAAGAGTTTCTATGAGACTTCAAATGGTAATGTAGTAATACCCTCAGGAGAGAGCCACAGTGTGTAAGTGTTCATGGTGAACTTCAGCCTACGAAGATCCTAAATACTTGGCCATACACTGCTGGGCACAAATATGCTATGGCATCATGACTTTGTAATAGATTGCTGTAAACATATGTTAAGTGTTCTTTTTTTCTTCCCTCTACTAGAACTTTAAGGCTACCCTGTCCTATTGCATTTCTGTAAAAACTAAAAGGTAGATTCTTATCTTTCACCAGGGAGACTTTTGGGTATACAAATAATAGTCACAGCCCTGCATGTTTGATTTATTGCTCAGGCCATGGTAGTGTTGTGCATGGCCGTTGGTGTTCAAGGTTTAAGTGTTGCATGCTTCCTAGTGGGACTATTATTTTTTGAGTACACTTCTTGAAATTCTTTTTTTTTCTTTTCTGTGTTTAATCTCAGATTATACCATAAAAGTAACCAGCTACAGAAACGGAAGAGCATTCAAAGTCCTATGGAGGGGATAACCTGAAAAGGCTGATAGGATCTTTTTAGTCTCAGCAGAGGGAGGCCAGAGGGCAGTGTTTGGTTTGGGTTACGCTAACCAGAGTGCTCTCCTTTCATTTTTACACCAGAGTCAGTCCTGTGACGTGGAGCGCGCAGTGTGCTGAAATGCGAGAGGCTGTCTTTTTATAGGTCTTATGTGTGAGTGACCCTGGTTTGCTTAATCACAAAAACCTGATGATGCCAGACAACTGATAAACTATCAAGAGATTGAAAATCAGGTTTTGGGCATATCTATTTCCTCCGATGCCTTTAATTCCGTTGGAGCAACACGGTATAGATAGGTTAATCTGGAAATGCCTCTAGGCAAATTCAGTCCTTTTCTTAGTTTCTTCCAAATACCAGGATCATTTTATACCCATGGATTATTTGTGCAATACTTTTCCTCGGTAAGTTAGTTAATGAAAGTTAAACCTCTGGAGGAACTACACTTATATCTTGTTTCTATATTGATCCATTTAATATCTTTTTCCTCTTCTTTTTGGAATCTAATCCAGTAGATGGTATTTTTGTCTGTGACAACATGGTTAAAATAAATCTCAATTTGAGGGAGGGCATCTCAACAGTAACAAATTGTGTGATTTAGAAGCAGCATCAAACATTCTGCCTCTGTTTCTCTTTTTGCAAAATGGGTCATCCTTGTAGCCCTTGTAGGAAAGAGGGTAATGCATTACCTATCCATGATAAAATGTATTTGCCCAGTACCATCCGTTTCTCTACTAAATCCATTTATTCATTCTTTCAATACATGTTTTTTGTATTCCAATTATGTATCAAGCCCTGTGCTAGGTACTGAAGGTGTGGCATTCTGTGTGTCACAGAGCTTATATATTTTTTCAGGTAAGATAGACTAATACATAGAGCAAGTAATAAAGTGTTAAGTGTCTTTGCAGGAAAAGCACAGTACAGGGGACTTTGGAAGCATATGGCAGACCTATCTAATCCAGTGGAAAGAGACTTGAAAAATCCTGGAAAGGGAGATACAAACAGAATCTTAAAAGGTAAGTGAGAGTTAGACACATCAAAGGCAGAGGAATGTCTCATCCTGAGGGCACAGGCTGTACAAAAATGTAAATGTGAGAGACCATATTAAGGAAGCACAACTCAAAAGCCGTCCAGAATGCCCGGATAGCATCGTATGAAAGGAAGGGTGGTAAGAAATGAGGCTGGAGAGGGTCTGAAATGCTATGGCCGGGGGAAGGCTTTGAAGAGTGGAACAGGAAAGAGGGGCTTAATCACCTGTATGGTTTAGAATGCTACCTCGGGGTCCAATGTGGAGAATGGTTGGGAGGAGATGGATAACTTTAGGGTGCTTAAAAATGTTTTTTGTTGAATAGTATACCCTTCAAAGCCTAAAAACATCAAATTCCCACTACTCCCCACAGAAGAGTCATTGGGAATGGATTCTTAGCCTACTTCATTTTTTTTTAAATCACCTTCTTAGGAAGAAACATTCTCAAATGAAAATCACCCTTCCATAGGCTTATCTGAAAGTATATTTTTTAATCATCATCATCATCACCATCATTATCATCATCATCTCGTGTAGATAGTCCCATAAATAGGAGAGTTGGCTTTTGGAGAAGATTGGCCTTGGTGACACAATGCTCAGCGAGTTTAGTCATAGCTCCTCCCCTTTTACTCCTATTCATTTCAATATTTGGATGGGTAGCTGACAACAGCAGTTTTAGAAGACCCCTTCCTCTACATCTTACAATTGGAAAGATTTCTCTTAGTTGTCTTACCTCTGCAGGCTGGTTTGTTTCCTACTGTCTTATATGTATCACATGTATTCACCAGTTTTGACACAGTATATTGCTGGTTCATTAGGTATCTGCTGGAATCTATATCCTCTCTTTATCCTTCTTTAATTTAAATCTGGCCCCAATCATACTATACTATTTTAATTGTTTGAAGGTGCCAGTCCCTGGTTGGGCAGCTCCAGGCCTCACTCCCATCCATCCTCAATAAATGAGGAAATAAAATACCAAAAAGGCTGCTATAATAAGACCTGAAGAAGATGCCCTTTCCTTACTTTTCTTTTCTATATCAGCTGTTTGTGTTCTCTGATACTCTTTTTTCCAGAGATAGCAGTGAAGGAAACAGAATCAGTCTGTGAACATTCAAAAACAATACAAACAGAATAGATTTAATAGAAATAAAACAAATTCATCACAGAAAATTAACTGTCTCTGACCCTATCTAGAAATTATCATAAATAATTTAGTTATTAACAGTAACATATTTATTTAGGAAATATAATCTTAAGGTTTTTTTTTTTTTTTTTTAAACATTAGTATGAGCATGATGGCTCAAGCCTGTAATCCCAGCACTTTGGGAGGCTGAGGTGGGCAGATCACCTGAGGTTGGGAGTTCGAGACCAGTCTGACCAACATGGAGAAACCCCATCTCTACTAAAAATACAAAATTAGCTGACTGTGGTGGTGCATGTCTGTAACCTCAACTACTCGGGAGGCTGAGGTAGGAAAATCACTTGAACCTGGGAGGGTGAGCCGAGATCACACCATTTTAAACTTCAGCCTGGGCAACAAAAGCAAAACACCATCTCAAAAAAAAAAATGAATATGGGTTCATTTTATTTAAGGTCTGCATGTGCTTCAGCAAAAATGACTTTGTAATTTAAAGCCATGTAAAGTATAAATTAAACTACTGACTTTTTATTGTTTTATTTACTTTCTTAACCTGAATATCTGTCTGTCTGTCTATCTATCTATCTACCTACCTGCCTACCTATATATACACACATATATATATATATACATATACATGCATATGTGTGTATATATAACTGAGTAACTTTCTACATCTATCTAGATATCTAACTATTACATAATACACTGATGACTACTAATAAAGTTCTGAGGGTTAAAATAGAAGCTGTAGGATAGTTTCATATATATTCGTTCATCAACCTTCAATGTAATGGACTAAGAGCTTTATGAAAAAAGGGAACACATTTATGGTATTTAAATATTCTACTTACTTGTTTTACATAACTATTTTACATGTATACAGTCCCTGAGACATTAGGAAACATGAAGATTATTTGGTATAAAATCACCAGATGGATGAATATCTCTGTGACAGCCATAATAAGAGGTCATCCCACTTTTCTGCACATACCTAGTGATGTCAAATACACCATCTCTCTTGAAAGCTAGACAGATTCTTCAGGGAAAATAATTATCAGACGGTCTTTTCTTACAATGAATCAATATCTTCCTTTCTGCAAATTTCACCTGCTTGGTTTTCTTTTTGCCTTCCAAGAGTCTCAGAGAATGAATCAAATCTCTCTTTCACCTGACAATGCTACTGATATTTTGAGACAGCTATTACAGTTCTAGACCTTTTCCATCATTTATTAAACATCTTCAAAAATTTTAATGTTACTTGGAATTTTGTTTGTTAAAGGCCTGCTGAACACCCACGTCCAAGCCCGAACACAAAGCCACTGACCAGGACACAGCAGAGTCACCAGCCACCTTCACTGACTTTTAAATAACAAAAGAAGTTTTGTTCTTCATCCTCACTGACAAACTTGCAGAAGAAGGTGGGCATCTGATTGACAGGTATCTTTACAACCTTTTGCAATTGCCTTTTGATTTTTGACTAAGATTTGCATTGAGAGTGTATATGATAAAATGTATACAAGAAAGAAATGGAATCAGAAATAACATCAGGCTTTCATTTAAAAAATATAAATGATTGCACAAATTAAAGAATTTCTCCTTGGAGTTTTGTTCTTTTAGGTTATCAGATAGAAAATAGGAAAATGCGAAATGTACCTCATGTTAAAAGAAAAAATTTAGGACAAATTAAGTTTAACAGAGTTTAATTGAACAAAGAACAATTGGTGAATTGAGCAGCTCACAAACCAATCAGAATAGGTTGAGAGTGACTTCAGTACTGCCCCATGGTTGGAGAAGATTTATGGACAGGAACAAAAGACACACAGAAGATGAAAGTAACGTACAGAAATAGCTGGGGCGGTTACAGCTCCATGTTTGCCTTATTTGAAAAGGGTTGACCAGTTGGCAGCTTGTAATTGGTTGAAAATCTGCAATTGGCACAAAAGTAGGTCACAGTCCATTGACAGATCCAGTTAGGTTACAGTTCACTATGTATAGAAAAACTTTAGGAAGAACTTAAAATATGTAAGGAGGCAGCTTTAGGCTACGTTTAATTTAACACTCATGTTGTAAGAATTATGGATGGACTGCAATTCACTTGTTGATGAGCATTTATTTGGATTTTTACCTGGTTTTGGCTACTGTGAATAAAGCTGTAATGAAGTCTTGAATTAGAAAACAAAAGGTATGTGGTTTAATTTCCACATATATTTAACTTCTTTTCCAGTTTTCCTTCTGTTTCTAGTTTCCATTGTGATCAGAAAAGATGCTTTGTATGCCTCGAATCTTTCTAAATGTATTAAGACTTATTTTGGGGCCTAAAATAGATCTACCTTAGAGAAAGTTTCAGGTATACTTAAGAAAAATGTGTATTCTGCTATTGTTTGGTGGTATGCTTTGTATGTCTGTTAAGTCTATCTGGCTTATAGTGTTGTTCAAGTCTTCTATGTCCTTACTGATTATCTATCTGGATGTTCTAGCCATTATTACAAGTGGAATATTGAAAAAAGAATTTTATAACTATTTTTCTCTAGTTTTGCTATTTCATATTTTATCTCTGAATATATTTTGTTATCTTAATTTAACTCATCTGGGAATCAGCAGTTTTAAAAACATTAACTTTATTTTTTTCCGAAACACAGTTAATTTATTTCCCAAGTTAAGATGTGTGTTTGAAACTTTGAGTTGTAGTATGTCTGACCCAGCAAACCCGCCTTACTAACTTTCAATGCAGTGACAGAGTTCCTTGCTGTTCCTAAACTCACAGCTGAGTATTTGTTTTTTGATCGTCATTTTCATTTATTTCTCCATCCCCTTTCAGGGCATTCTTTCACTTTCAGGATTTGTCAACAGCTTGCTTAATTGTTTCAAATTACATTCTAGTAAATGTGGCACAAATCTAACGTAATGGAAGCAAGAAAGCTCTTCATCTTATCTCACCTTTGGGAATGCAATGTCTTGCTGTCTTTCTGGTTTATGCCTAACTTCTACAAAGCAGAACAAAGCCAAGAGGGATTAATTGGGAAGGGTATCTATAATAGGTATACCTTCTAGAGGTACAAAAGTAAGTGTGCAAAGAAGGTTTATGTGCTTAGGTAATTAGTAAGAAAATAGATTTATTAAATTGTACAATCATATGTTTTAGGGGTTTTGTACATAAAATGTGGCAAAATTATACACAGACCAGTTGGAAAGAATAAATAGATAATACCATCTACAGTATCTTTTCAGTATAAACGTCATTGGGTATCTTTTCACAAACATGTAAGACATTTTCATATCTACTTTTGTCATTCATTTTGTGTTTTCACTAAGCTTTTAAAAGACTATGTTATTAATTGCAAATACAATCATTCCTTGTACAAAGAAACTTCATGTTAGTTACATGATTTGAAACAACCCCCTTTTAAATTTCTATTTTCTCCTTTTCATACTTGAGTATCCTTCTTAGATAAAGAATATAAGGCATATAGATGACAAGGCATTTCCTAGGTGGGCCATGGAAGTCTGTGACTGAGCTGAGACCAGCACTCAGGAACCCTTATGCTCAATGTGGTCCTTTTCTGTACCATTCTGACTCCAGATTCCAGATTGTTACTAGCAGCATTTCTGATTTTATGATTTACCATAGGCTTTTTTTTTTTTTGTTATTCCAGCAGTATTTATTGAGTATCTCACCTCTCAGGCGACAAGTGGACCACATCATCTTTCTTTCCCCAGTCACGTTATACACATGTTCATTCATTTATCCAGTATAATGGTTGATTTTACAGACATTTACCAATATTGTAGGGTTAAAGTCATGCTTTCAGAAATTAGATGCCTTTAAGTTCATATTCCCTTGGAAATTTACTAGCTGTGTCACCTGGGGCATGTCACATAACTCCTCTAAGCCTCAGTTTCTTTCTTTGTACCATAGGCATTTTTAAATGACAAAGGATGACTTTATTTTATTTATTTATTTATTTATTTATTTATTTATTTATTTATTTATTTATGAGATGGAGTTTCGCTCTTGTTACCCAGGCTGGAGTGCAATGGCATGATCTCGGCTCACTGCAACCTCTGCCTTCTGGGTTCAGGCAATTCTCCTGCCTCAGCCTCCCGAGTAGCTGGGATTACAGGTGCGCGCCACCACGCCCAGCTAATTTTTTTGTATTTTTAGTAGCGATGGGGTTTCACCATGTTGACCAGGATGGTCTCGATCTCTTGACCTTGTGATCCACCCACCTCGGCCTCCCAAAGTGCTGGGATTACAGGCTTGAGCCACCATGCCCGGCCAGGATGACTTTAAATTATTGAAGACCTTCTTTACTCTCACGATCCAATCAAAGCCAGTTTTGTTTTGTATTGTTTTCCATAAATATATTCTCTGGCCTTGTGTTGCTAAATGGAATTCAAAACTAGTGATATACAAATATATTTATCAAAGGCAAACATTGTTTCATTTATTAGTGGTTGCTGGTGGCCCATAATCAAATCTATTGAATGAAACAGATTGCTTTTTTGATTCTATTGATTGTTTCTTTGAATTTTCTGAGGATAATTTAGTAATAAAAACCTTTCTCCACTATTACTTCCAATACATATATTTACTCGTGTGTTTTTCTTTTGCTTACACAGAGAAGATGAAATAATGAAAGCAGTTTTTCAATGTTTCGGCAATTCTCACTTAGATCTTATGAGGCAAACCTGTGGATCAGTTATTTCTTTGCACATACACTGTGCATGTGTGTGCTTTTCTTCTTCAGCTTGAAAGGACAGGGATTTTGTCTCTTTTACAGAATTGAAAGTGAAAGCTCAAAGATTCTTAAGGCTTCTGGTGTGGGTCTGAACCAATTACTAAGCTGCTAAGTAGCAAGACTACCCATATCAGTAGTTTCTTATTGTATTTAAATGGCCATGTTCTTTAACATTTAATGTCTTACTAATGTTAACAATTGTGTTTCCAGTTTTGAACTGGAGGTGGGAAGGAAGCAGGTTATATATTAGTTATGGCTGTTAACAAAAGGTAATGACATAATTCCTCTCCTTGAGCCTTATTGATTATTTTAGTATTATTTTTAGTATTATTTTTGCAACTTCTTTGAATCTGTAAGAGTTTCAAAGACAAAAGACTAGAAACGAAAGGAAAAGAGAATGCCCCAAATCTTGAAATGAACACAATTTTGAAAGGAATATTCAGAGGGTGTCTTAATTTATTTTCATGCTGCTGATAAAGACATACTCAAGACTGGGCAATTTATTAAAAAAGAAAAGTGTATTGGACTTACAGTTCCACATGGCTGGGGAGGTCTCACAATCGTGGTGGGAGGCAAGGAGGAGCAAGTCACGTCTTACATGGATGGCAGCAGGCAAAGAAAGAGAGCTTGTGCAGGGAAACTCCCATTTTTTAAAACCATCAGATCTGGTGAGACTCATTCACTATCATGAGAACAGTGCAGGAAAGACCCACCCCATAATTCAATCACCTTCCTTTGGGTTCCTCCCACAACACGTGGGAATTGTGGGAACTGCAATTCAAGATGATACTTGGGTTGGGACCCAGTCATACCATATCAGGAGTTATTGGTAGATACTTTGCCTTTCTCCTGTCTCCCCCTTGAGCAGAGTGTCAGAAATTCTAGCAGCTTCACATGGGCCTCAGGCCAGCAGTTCTCTTCTGAAGAACATGGATACATCAGAGCTGTGCCTGGAGGCTTCATGTCCTCAAAACACCCAGCTTGTTGATAGATGGTAGCTGTAATGGTGACCAGGCATGATTCCTCGAATCATATATTTTCTATGAATTTATGGATGCTATTTTTTTGTTTGTTCTTTTCTTATTCTTTCTTGGAGAGGCTAACTTTTTTTCCTTCATTTTCAAAGATAATGGGACAATGTATGACATTCATCTTACTGGACAATATAATGAACTTCAGAAGGTAAATTATTTGCTGGTCAGGATTTCCAGGATGGCACAAATTCAATTTTATATTTAAATTTGAGAAGAAAAAAATAAGTCTCAGTACCCATTACCCAGAAAGCAAGTAAAGTCATCTTACAAACATAACTATTAACTCAACAAAGAAAAACCTGGCCAGGCACAGTGGCTCAAGCCTGTAATCCCAGCACTTTGGGAGGCCGAGGTGGGTGGATCACGAAGTCAATAGATCAAGACCATCCTGGTCAACATGGTAAAACCCCATCTCTACTAAAAAAAAATACAAAAAATTAGCTGGGCATAGTGGTGCGTGCCTGTAATCCCAGCTACTCAGGAGGCTGAGGCAGGAGAATTGCCTGAACCCAGGAGGCAGAGGTTGCGGTGAGCCAAGATCATGCCATTGCACTCCAGCCAGGGTAACAAGAGCGAAACTCTGTCTCAAAAAAAAAAAAAAAAAGAAAAACCTGAGAGGTACTCAAGAAATTCGTAATTGAAGTAGTGAATAATCTTATAATTG